GTATTTTTTTCCCTCTCTGGTATATTTTAAAGATGCTTGTATTTCTTTCTTGGTGAATTTCCCCATTGTATTTCTCTAAGGGCTCCTCTAAATCCATTATTTGTCCTGATGACTGCACTAGGTTGTCTAGAGTTTTCTTTTGTCCTTGTTCATGGCCTTTTTGGCTGGTGTGGTTCAAAGCTCCTTTGTGGTTTCATACAATTTATTGTAAGCGAACTAAACCAATCTAGCCCAAACCCAATCATGTTTTTCCAGAAATGATGTGGAGAAATGCTCACCAGTTTTATGTTTTTCCATCCAGATAGAAAGAATTCGATGTGAAACTGCTTATGAACAAACTTGTGCTTCTGTTTAAAAAAAATAATAGTTTTTATAATTTTTATAATTCACACATCATGAAATCCAACTTTTTTTTGAGAGTTTTTTTTTTTGCTATAGGGTGTGTGCACTTGCCAGGAAAACAGAGAGAGACAGAGAGACAGAAAGCGAGAAATCACCCCCCCCCAAGGGGGGGGCGGCCATGCTGTAATCCCTTCTCCTCCATTCTCCTCTCGGGATCTTGGGCACGCACACACATGTGCCCGGCGTGAGTTTAAGCCACCAGGTCCAGGACTCGAGCCATGGTTGACTACATGGGAGTCCAGCGACATAGCCATTACCCAACTGCTGGTCCCTACCCCTTGTTTTAAGTGGCCAGAGGGCATTAGTTCATCTGGGAGACAGAGAAAGAGGTGTGTTTGTGTGTGTGGGGGTGTATGTGTGAGAAAGCACTCCTGGAGGTGGGGGGAAATTGGTTACACTGAAATCTCTTCTCCATTTCTCCCTTTGCAGAATTTTGAGCAGAAACACACACTGGGTGTTTATCAAGCCTCTGGGTCAGGACTTGAACTATGCAGTCTGCCATGTGGAATTCAGCCATCTTAACCATGTCACTAGCTGGCCCCCAAATCCACCCATTTGAAATGTGCAATTCCAGGGCAGATGGTGGCGTGGAGGTAAAGGCACCTGGATCCTACGTGGCCAACTACGTGATTCAAATCCTGGACCTGGCTGCTTGAAAAACATGCTGGACGTGCATGCATGCATGCCCAAAATCCTGAGAGGAGAAATGGAGGAGAAAGAATTGCAATATGGCTATTCCCCCGGAGGGGTGACTTCTCACTTTCTCCCCTTTGTCTTTAGCAGAAACACATGCCCTAAAGGCAAGCCCTGCCAGTGGCTCGATCTTACCCTGGCAAGACTCTTATCAGACTTCTAACCTACAGAACTGAAAGAAAATAGATTGTGTTGTTTTAAGACCAAAAAATAAAATGGCAATCTTTTCCAAATTGGCCTGCAAATTCAATATAATCTCCTTCAAAATCTCAGATTTCTTTCTGGAGAAATAGACAAGTTGATCCTAAAATTCTTATGGAAATACAAGAAACTCCAAATAGCCAATACAATCTTGAGAAAGCAGAACAAAGTTTGAAGAAACACTTTCTGACTTAACATTTAGTGCAAAGCTATGATAATTAAGACAGGACAAACATGTAAATGACTACAGTGGAATTGAGAGTTGAGAAACAAAACCATAAACCTTTGGTCAACTGACCTATCTACAAGAGTGCTAAGCTCATTCAATGGAAAAAGAACAGACTTTTCAATAAATAGTGCTGGAACAACATGCATAAGAATAAAGTGGACACCTACTTCATGCATATACAAAATTAAATAAAAATGGATGAGGAGGAAAAATTCCCAAACTCTTAGAAGAAAACATGGTACTGACTCTTTGTTACCTTGGATTAAGCAATGGTTTCCTAGATGTGATACCAAAACATATGCAACAAGGGCCAGCAGCCAGTGGCACAGGGGTAACATGATGCTATGTGACACCGGACCTACATGAGAAAGTCCCAGTTTCTGCCCTAGAGTCTCCGTGTGTACATGGAGCACATGCACCTGCCTGTGATCCAGGCTGGCTGAGGCTGGAGGTGGCTCATGGCCTGAGTACCCTGTTGTGGGTATAAACAAACATTTTTTTTAAAGGCTTTTTGCCATAGGGTGCATGCACTGGCTGGAGAGAAACAGAGAAGGACAGTGACAGGGAAAGTGAGAAATCATCCCCCAAGGGGTGACAGCCACATCTCACTCCCTTCACCATTCTTTTCCTGAGATTTTTGGACATGCACGCATATGCACCTGGTGTGATTTTTCAAGCTGCCAGGACTCAAACCATGGTTGGCCATGTGGGAGTACACTGTTCAAATCACTACGCCACCTGCTGGCGACCCCCAGTAAACTTTAAAAAAAAAAAAGTTGTCTGGAAAGTCCTGACATTTTTCTGTGTCTTTTTTTCTATGCAAAAATGCATCGTGACTTTCCTGACAACACCATCATTCAAGTGATTGTATTGGAGTTGGAGAGGGAGGACTTTTACAGGATTTGGTGGCTGATGAGCCATAGGTCCCTAAGCAGCTGCCTGATAGTTTCTGAGTGACGTATCTGAGGGTGCCAAGGGTGGTCCAGAGGAGTGGTACCAGAGATGAAACTCTAGCAACCAATGGCACAGGAGAACTGAGAAGCCGAAATGTCCTGAGGTTGGGAAGACATCCGAGACAGAAGATGGTTGAGGGTGTGGAGGATTAAGGCTGTAGGGTCTGTGCTTCAGAAACGTGGGTCACAGATGGGTAAATACTGCCAACTTCCTTCATCACAAGACACTTCCTAGGGTCCAGAATGCTTGTTTGGCCAGGGCTTTCTGGAAAAAAAGGCCTAGGCTGTGCCGGGGTGGAGGTGGGGGTGGTATGTGGGAGCAAGGCATGGCTAGGGATAAGGGCTTCAGGTATAGAAGAAATGTCCTGAGACCTAGCCAGCCATCTGGAGTGCAGGATTGAGGAAAAGGGGTAGGAAAGCTGATTCAGGGCTCTGTCTTAGATCCCAAGTCCATGCAGAGCCCCTGTCTAGCCAAAGTCACACTGGAAGAGTAATACCCATTAAATTATCTATTGATGGCCTTTGAGGATGGGCCCTCTGACTCTTAAAATGTTTGACAGACTTCAAGCACACTGGAGTCATGTGAGCCTACACACTGAAAGTTAAAGCCCCAAAGAAATACTAATAGTAATGTAATCAAAACTCCTGACGTGATGCTGCATCGCTTGACCCTGCTCACCTACCCATCTTTATCTCCTGAGCGATTAGATGACTTACACTTGAAAGTGCCTCTCAGGGGCCTGCTCCATGGCACAGTGGTAAAGCACTGCTTAAGATAAGACAGAACCCATTGTGGCCACACAGTTCCACTTCCTGGTTGGTGAGCCTGAAATACACTGGGCATGTGTGTGAGTGCCCAGAATCCAACAGCCTGGTGGATTAGAAGAAAGGGATCATGGCATTATCAGACTCTGTCTCTCCCATACACACACATCTTCACATGCACACATTCATTCTATCATGGATAAAGAAAATAACATTCTGGGACCAGCAGTTGGCATAATGGCTATGTAGCTGGACTCCCATGTACTTGACTGCAGTTCGAGTCCTGGACCCAGCGGCTTAAATTCACACCAGGTGTGTGTGCATGTGTGCCCAAGATCCCGAGAGGAGAATGGAGGAGAAGGGATTGTGGCGTGGCCATTCCCCCACCCCACCCCCCAGCGGGGGGTGATTTCTCACTTTCTGTCTTTCTGTCTCTCTCTGTTTTTCTGGCGAGTGCACGTGCTCTATAGCAAAAACTCTCCAAAAAAGGAAAGAACATTTAAAAAGTGTCTTTTGGGCCCACAAGTACTTTGCCATAAAGCCACAGTCAGCCCCAGCTCCCAAACAGAGCTGGACCCATTCTGTGTTTGGTAAATGTGCAAGTTTGGCTTTCCCAAACTGTGGTTATCATTCAGTGTTAAATGAAAAGCCCTTGCTTAGGGGATGGCAGGTGTCATGGTGGTTAAGGGCGCTTGACTCCCACATGGCCAACCGCATTTCCTGTCCCAGACTTGGCGGCTTGCCTTCTTGCTTTCCTTATTTCTGTCTGTCTGTTTCTCTCTCTCGTTCTCACTCTGTCCCTCTCTGGTCAAATGAAAATAAATAAATAAATAAATAAATAAATAAATAAATAAATAAATAAAATAAAGTTAATGGAAATACTTCTTTAAAAACCCTCTCTCATAAACAAAAACAAAAACAAACAATTTGGGACCAGCAGTTAGTGTAATGGCTATGTCGCTGGACTCCCACGTAATCGACCATGGTTCAAATCCTGGACCCGGTGGCTTAAACTCACATTGGGCGTGTGTGCGTGCGTGCCCAAGATCCTGAGAGGAGAATGAAGGAGAAGGGATTGCGGCGTGACCATCCCCCCTGGGGGGTGATTTCTCGCTTTCTGTCTCTATGTCTCTCTCTGTCTGTCTGGCGAGCACAAGCGCCCTATAGCAAAAACCTCTCCAAAAAAAGAAAAGAGAACCTTAAAAAATAATTCCTTGCTTAGAGTTGACCACCAAACTCTGTAGGTAGGAGGCGGCTTGGGGTGGCTATTAGGGTAGGGGAGTAGAAGGCCCAAAGCCAAAGGAAGAGTAAATGACCCTGAGGCAGTGAGGAGTGGTGGCTGGACCTTTGGGAGCCTGTCTCTATCCTCCCCGTAGGTTGCTGCTCCACCTTCCAAGGCAGACAAATCGCCTTCCCTGCACAACGTTACAGATGAGATCTCCTCCAAGAGTTAAACCAAGTGTTCCTACTGGAAGCTATTTCTGGTTGGTCAAATCATTTCCCGCTCACCCCGTGGTGGGCGTAGCCACGAAGTCCCATCCACTAGAATGCAGCGTCTCAGGTTGCCGCTAACTAGTGTACTACGCCCCCATTGGTGAAGGGCACGTTAGAGCCCTGTCTCCACAGCTGTATAGGAGCCTGCGGAGAGGAAGGAGGCGCGGACAGTGAGCTCCTGCTGTGTGGCCTGGAAGCACAAACCTAGACAGAAGGCCTTGCACCTAGTGTTAAGTGGTCCAGGTGGCCCTTACAATAGGACGATGCTCCGGCTTATTTCCAGGGCCCTTTCATTCTTCAGGAGGAAAGCGGAGCCTGAGATGGAGAGGGAACAGCATCTGAGGCTCTTGGACGGTAACGAACCTATCCCCCCACCAACAAGGGCCAGCCTCTAAGGGGTGCTCTCAGTCGGAACTGCTCAGAGGGTTCTTTATGCACACCACATCTCCAGGTCTCTGAGTCACTGCGTGGTGGACTTCAGTCAACTTAAACTTTTTTTTTTAATAATTTTTTATTTTATTTTGTATACATTCAAGTCAACTTAAACTTTGAACTATCCTGTCACAAAGTGGAGATAGGCAGAGAACGCCACATGGGGGTGTACCACACAATTGCATTTCCCCTGATGCTTTTGGATTTTCTCTTGTGTAAATGCCATCTGATCCTGCAACAGATTTCTTTTATATTTCTGATAGTAGGGGACTTCCTGATATGAAAGTGAATTTCATTTTTTTAGTGGATGAGTATATCAGTTGCCCAGAGGAGGGCAGGGCATGAGTTTAACTTGTTTACTTTTGTATTCTAAAAATCGGTCCTCAGAGTCTGGCATTGAGTCATTAGTCAGTGGGTGGGTTTTTTGTTAATTTGTCTTTGGTTTTGCGAGGTTTTTGCTATATGGTGCATGTGCTTGCCGGAGACATAGAGACAGAGAGACAAAAAGTGAGAAATCACCCCCTGTGGGGATGGCCGTGCCGCAATTTCTTCTCCATTCTCCTCCTGGGGCTCCTGAGCTCACACGCACATGTGCCCAGAGTGAGTTTAAGCCGTCGGGTCTGGGACTCGAACCACAGTTGACTATGTGGGATGTTTCTGAAGTTATGAATTGGTCAGGATCCATACAACATGAGGTTTGCTGGGGTAGATGGAATCCCTGCTCGGAATTATATTCATTCTAATTTGTGTTCCGGGCTTGTACATTCCACGCCCTATGCTAAGAGCTTTAAGGACAAACATATCATTTAATCCTAATTTAAAAATCCAATGAGATGGATATGAACAGCATAGAAAGTAATTTTGCCGTCATCGTGCCTTACACAATGTGCACAGGCTGCCTCAGTTTCAGCTTTAAGCTAGTCCTGATAGCAATGGCAGGACTCGTCTCCATCTTTTTTTTCTACAGAACGAAACTGTGTGATCCTCACTGCTTCCTGTTCCTTTGATATCTTCTGATAGAAGATAGATTCAAAGCTATTGCAAACGTACTTTTTCCCCTTTAATAAAGAGCTTTAATCTTATAAAGAAGACATTTAAAGATCTCATGCAATATACATTTGATATTTATTTAGGCTAAATATCTAAAAGCGAGGATCTAAAAGTAGGACTCTAAAAGTGTGTTTAGATGTGCCTACCCTAAAAAACAACCTAAGAAATTATATAAGTATTTTTGACTATAAAGACAAAAATAACGGTATACAAATGCTATAATCTAGTTAGTAGATGTGTCTCTCACAGGGTTATGGATTAGAAATCATGAAATATGGGCAGCATAAGGGGGTATAGTGGTAAAACGTGATGCTCTGTGAGGCTGTCACAAGGAAGGGTTGGTTCCAGGTTTATGTCTGGAGACCTCTGTAAGTGTGTGGACCATGCATGTGCCTGTGACCTGGGGCAACCTTACTTTTTAATTTTTTATTATTTATTTCTTTATTTGCCATAGGGTGCATGTGCTAGCTGGAGGGGGGGAAGTGAAAAATCACCCCCTGGGGGGGATGACCATGCCATAGTCCTTTCTCTTCCATTCCCCTCCTGGAATTTTGGGCACGTACACACACACACACACACCTGGTGTGATTTTGAAGCCATCAAATCTGGGACTCTAACTGGGTCAGCCACATGAGAGGCCAGAGCCTTAACCACCATTCTACCTGTTGGCCCTGCAAACCCACTTTTTTAAAAAATATGTTTTAAATAGGGACCAGCAGTTGGCATAACAGCTATGTCGCTAGATTCTCATCTAGTCACCGTGGTTCGAGTCCTGGACACGGTCGCTTAAATTCACACCGGGCCCGTGTGTGTGCACACTCAAGATCCCGAGAGGAGAATGGAGGAGAAAGGATTGTGGCACGGCCATCCCCCCTGGGGGGCGATTTCTCACTTTCTGTCTCTCTGTCTCTGTCTTTCTGGTAAGTGCATGCACCCTATAGCAAAAACCTCTCCAAAAAAAAAAAAATTAAAAAAATATGATTTAAGCATTTTAGACCATTGCTAAGTTTCCACAGCATGAATTTCAAACATTGTACAGTGTCTTGTTTCGAACAATATTCTTTTCCTGTACAGCATTGAGTCTAGGAACTTAGAGATGCCATCATTACGAAACAACTAAATGGAAGACTCTAGAGCATTTAAAACTTTTTTTAGTGTAGTGTAGGTAAGGTCAGAGATCTGTGCTGTGTCAACAAACCTTGTCTAAATTTCTTTGCATTTCTGTCTCTCTCTTTTGGTTTAAGAGGAGTCCCAGGAAGGTGAGAAACCTATAGTTTCAAATTTTTTGTGATCTTAAACTCTTTAGCCTCAAGGCACTCTGAGTCATGCTCCTAATGAATCACTCCGTGTTTTAGGTGTTTTCTGAACTGTTTGAAGTTACTAGACATCCGGTCGTTCATTTTGCTCTTTCATCAGCACAGCAACAGACTGTCATCCAACAATAACAAGAAGAAAAATTAGACGATATTTTTAACTTTTTTCTTTATCTGAAGTGTTCACTTATACATGTAGGAAAATAAGCAGGACCATCTGGGCCAGTCTACATAAACACTGTATACGATACATGTGTTCATCAGAGAGAGAGAGAGAGAAAGAAGGGATTTAAGGAATCATCCCCCAGGGGCATGGCCAGGCCACAATCCCTTCTCCTTCTGGGATTTTGAGCATTCACACACACATGCCTGGTGTGATTCTCAAGCATCCAGGTCTGGGACTCAAGCCATAAAGCAGGCCATGTGGGAGCCAGCACATTGACCTCCATGCCACTTGCTGGCCCCTACATACCAGATTTAATGCACCATATAGGGAATGGAATTGCAAATAGTCTGAATAAGAGGAAAATTTTTGCTGCATTATAAACTGTCTAACTGCATTATTTATAGCATCCTAACGTTTTTGGGACAAAGCATCTTTTTATTTAC